GAGGCTGAGGCAGGAGAATCACTTGAACCCTGGAGGTGGAGTTTGCAGTGAGCCGAGATTGCACCACTCCACTCCAGTCTGGCAACAGAGTGAGACTCTGTCTCAAAGAAACAAAACAAAAAAAGCAAAAAAAGAATTTGGAAACTATAAGCTGATAGTGATAATAAGCATTGGGTATTGAAAGAGGGTGGTTTTTGGAACTAATCAGTTCTAAATTTAAACCCTGGTCTGCAACTTACTTGCTGCCTGGTCTTCCAAGGTATCTTAACTTACTCTCAGTTTGTTCTGAACAATGGTAAACTTAGCAACTATATTTTTGGGTTAGTTGCAATGAGTTTAAAGTATATATAGTGCTGACTAGACATGGTGGCTCACGCCTATGATCCCAGCACTTTGGGAGGCTGAAGTGGGTGGATTACTTGAGCCCAGGACTTTGAGATCAGCCTGGGCAACATGGTGAAACTCCATCTTGTTGCACCCGAGCAAGTCAAGGAATGTGTCACACTCTGAGATTGAATTATGAGTCCTTTATTAAGCCGGTGACCAAGAGCTGGCTAATGCCCAAAATTCTATTGGCTCCGAAGAAAAAGTTAGGTGGTCTTTTATACCCTAGTTTTAAAAGGGTGAGGGAACCTAGCTGAAGCAAATTTTTCACAAAAGCAGAGTAAGCAAAAAGTTATAAGATAAACAGATACATGAGAAATAAAACACTACCAGGTGCGAGGGACAAAGCTGTCATAAAAGACATATAACTTACAGATAATGGGGCCTCCGGGTGCTCAACTGCACCTGCATTCCCAGGTTCTGCTGGTACCACTTAACTCGGCCTCTTATCAAGAAATGCATTCCTGGGTGCCCAGTGTAAGCCTGCCCCAGTTACATACGATAGTTATATACTTAATGGTGAGAGAATAACTAAAATGAAGAAGCCAAGATGGAGTCTGTCCAGCTCAAGAAACTAACATAAAGCCTAAACAGCTTTTAGTCTGAGAAAGAGTTTTAGCTGGCAAAAAGCAGGTTATCACAATCTCTACAAAAAAATTAGCCAGGTATAAGGACATCCTCCTCTTTCATTTGTAGGACATCAGGGAAAAAAATAAAAATAAAAAATAAATAAAAATAAATTTAAAAAGTTAGGCAGGAGTGGTGGCAGGTACCTGTGGTCCCAGTTTCTTGGGAGGCTGAGGTGGGAGGATTGCTTGGGCCCGTGAGGCCATGGCTGTAATGAGCTGTGATTGCACTGCTGCACTCCAGCCTGGGTTGTCAGAGTGAGACCCTGTCTCAAAATAAATAAATAAATAAATAAAGTATATATAATGCCTAGTACAATGCTTGGCACAGAGTAGGCACTTAAGCTGTTGTTTTTACAAATATTATAAAATAGGCCAGGTATGGTGGCTCACTCTCGTCAATCCCAGCACTTTGGCAGGCTGAGGTGGGTGATCAGTTGAGCCCAGGAGTTCAAGACTCAACCGTCTCTCCAAAGGTACAAAAATTAGCCAGACGTGGAGGCATGCTCCTGTAATCCCAGCTACTCAGAAGGCTGAGATGGGAGGACGCCTGAGTCCAGGAGATTGAGGCTGCAGTGAGCCATGATCATACCGCTGTACTCTAGTGTAGGTAACAGAATGAGACCTTGTCTTAATAAAAACCCAAATTATAATATTTAAGGATCATCTTTGTGTTTAAACTGTTTAAACACTTTAGAGACTAAAGACACCTTGCTTTCCTCTTGATTTCAACCCTAAAATCTTTTTTTATTGGCATTATTAGAACTTAGTTTAAAAGTCTTTTTTTTTTTTGAGACGGAGTTT